AAACGATGGGCCGACCACTTCAAGAAGCTCTTGAATCGACCACCACCTGCACTTCGTCCAGAAATACCACCTGCATTCACAGAACTACCAGTAACATAAATCCTCCAACCAAAGTCGAAGTCCTGAACGCCATAAAGCTACTGAAATGCGGGGAAGCAGCAGGACCAGATGGGATCCCGCCAGAAGCACTGAAAACAGAAGCGGAGACAACAGCGAACATGCTCATACCACACCACTATTTCAGAAGGTGTGGAAGGAAGGGAAGGTACCTGGCCATTGATTGGAAGAAAGGTTACCTTTTCAAACTCCCGAAGAATGGAGACCTCAGTGTTTGCAAGAACTGGCGCGGAATCACTCTCCCGTCCACCCAATGCAAGCAAAATATTAAGCCTCATCATCTTGGAGAGGCTTAAAGATGCACTGGATTCAAAACTACGACCGGAACAGGCAGGCTTCAGGAAGTACAAATCATGTGCAGACCAAATTGCAACGCCACTCTACGCATCATCATAGAACAGAGTACAGAATGGCAGTCAATTCTCTATCCCAACCTCATCGACTTTGAGAAGGCCTTTAACAGCGTCGACCGAGAAGTAATTTGGAAGCTGCTTCAATACTACGGAGTACCGCAAACCTTTATCAGCCTCATTCAACAACTATATGAAGATGCCACATGCCAAGTAATTCATAATGGGAAGCTCAGTGATGCTTTTGAAGTGAAGACAGGAGTGAAACAAGGCTGCCTACTATCACCCATGATATTCCTGATAGTGGTGGACTGGATCATGCAGCAAACAGTGGGCAGCGAGAAGAGGGGGATACGCTGGACGGCGGAAAAGAACCTAGAAGACTTGGATTTCGCCGATGACTTGTGCCTAATGTCACATAAACTTGAAGATCTGCAGGCAAAAACTAACAAGTTGATAGAAGAGGCTAGGCAGCTAAGACGGGACTTCAGGTGAATATAGAGAAGACAGAAGTGATGAAGATACCGCACCACCACCATCAACAACAACAACAAGCTCCAGTCACCATGAACGGGAGAAACTTAAAGGAAGTAACCTCCTTCACTTATCTAGGAAGCACTGTTTCAACTACAGGCGGGACGGACGAGGACGTCAAAGTCAGAATCGGAAAAGCAAGACAGGCGTTCATTAGCCTGAAACCAGTGTGGAGATCTTCTGCACTCAGCATGTGGAACAAGATACGGATTTTCAACACCAACGTCAAGTCAGTGCTCTTGTATGGCTCAGAGACTTGGCGCGTCACGAAAGGCATTTCCAATAAACTACAGACATTCATCAACAACTGCTTTCGCTCCCTGCTGAAGATCAGATGGTCAGAATAATAAGAATAAGCAACAAGGAGCTCTGGGAACGAACCAACCAAGAATCTATCGCTGAACAAATATGCACTGGAAGGAAGTGGAGATGGATTGAATTGGGCATATACTGAGAAGGCCGACTGAGGACATCACGCGTCAGGCCAGTCTTTCGAGTGGAACCCAGATGGGAAGCGACGAGTTGGGTGTTCCAACTGAGGGTGACATGGAGGAGATAGTGTGAGGAGGAAATGAGAGCTTGTGGGCAGTTGTGGAGCCAGGTCCAAAAGATTTCAGAGAACAGAGTTCACTGGAGACGTGCTAGTGAAGCCCTATGTTCTATTAGGAACCCAAAGGACTAATGATAAAATAATAATAATCAGAATACCCTTACACTGTAAATAAGCTGTAAGATATGTGCAAGCTAATCTATAAGTTTACCTTTCTTTTTAGTTCATTCTTTTAATTTCCTATTCACAAAATATACTAAAAATCAAATACATGCAGAAATAAGTGTGCTGTTATTAACTACTCAAACACGAAACAGTATTGATGAGGTAACGAATGCAAAAAACATGAATGCTGAAAATACCTACTTAATATCAATTCTAAACAAGAAGAGAAAGTTACACTTTATCATCAGGGATATTCTACGATACTCATGTCTCAAAATATATTTACTTTGACTATGACGTGTGAAAAAAATTGAATTTGAAAAACTTTTCAAATATACAACCGACAACTTTTCAAAGATTTAACGCGTTAATAATGATTCAAGCTTTTTGGATGAAACAATATACATTTCTATTTCTTAATTTTGAAAACTTTTAACGGTTTTTTTCGTTCGCATGGAATAGCAATATGAATGATGTTTGTGTACCTAGGTGCTTCACTTACCCCCATGCGCAACCCTTTTTGGTTGCAGCTGAATTACTTTCATGCATTTCTGCTAGGAAATTGAAATACTTCTTTAAAATAGGAAAACCATTCCTATCCCATAACCACATCTATTGAAAAATTGTCTAAATGATAGATTTCACTTCCAATCTATGACTTTCCATCAATACTTAAGTACGATTTCTTTACCTATCGAGTTTACTAAACTTCAACTGTATATGAAGCTTGATAACATTTTGATCAATTGCGACAGGTTCAGTTGGTTGATATTTTAAACATACCCAGCCAGTTACAGGTTGATACATCTCTAAATAACACACGTATTATTGCAGAAGTACAGGGCATTGAAAATTTCAGAAGTAGCAAATTGTTATTATCTCTTGTAACGTCAATAAATATTGAACGCTCTGAAAACACTTTAGCTTAATAGCCATACGTTTGGTTTTTAACGAAAATCTACCTTTCTGGTGTGTAACAATATGAAAATACACGATGCACAAATACATTGTATTGTATTGTGAAATGATAAAAACAAGATTTTTGATAGAATTAAAGCTAAGCTGAACGAAGAACTTAGGTAAACATAAGTTGATTAAAGTGTTATTGCTTGCATGACACCGTCGTTGATTGAACCGACTTCATCAGTCTCTGTTGGCATATGGGCTCCTATGCGGATGCTTCGATATTGCCTGTCTTTCAACTATGTATAGTAATGATGGCCAGTGGTTAGTAGTGGTATCCAGGATTCTCATTTCGTCCTACTTGGGATTCGTCATCTGGATGTCATACAAGCAATAACACTAAAACTATGCTCGTCACACAAGTGGCTCTCTTGACTCGGTGGTGTAGTGGATAACGCTCTGGCGTTTGAAGCGATCTCTCCCAAGTCCGAGTCCCGGTGGGAACAACAATACTCACTGGAAGGCAGGTACAGCCAGCTGACGAGTCCCAAATAGGACGAAATGCGCATCCTGGATTCCACTACTAGCCACTGCCCATCATTACTATACATAAGTTGATTGTTTAAATAAGGTATCCAGATGAATACAATGGAAAAAACATCGATCTTTCTCCATTATCTGTGACTACTTTTACTATCCACCTATAAATACTAAGAAAATCATAGTGAAGGAAAACGAAATTATTTACTACCATTTTGGATTCAGATGTTCTAATATCTGTAGATGCTTGGTCACTAACCATCCAGCTGGTAGTTACTAGAACCACAATAATGTTAAATCATTTGGAAATGAGCAATTAGTGGAAAGAGTTCACAGTCACTAAAATATTGAATATTAAACACTATAACCTAAGACTTTTAACAGAAGCATCCATGGGTTATTTAGTCTGCTAGTCACTTAGATTTATGATTAGTTTCTTTTCTTGCAGTAATTGTCTTTGCATACTTATCGTATTGCTCAGTCATTTTTCATCCGAACTTTTGTTACAATGTTGAATCGTTTAACTTGTTTTGTTTACATAATTTTCTTCACGCAGACTGTTTTCCTAATAGTCTATCAGACCCAATGGTTTGATCTAGGCTTGAAAACTAATAAAAACAGCAGAATGCGGAATAGCTGCTTTGTTTCATTTACAGACTTACACCAGAATAAACTTTAAACACTGAAAATGATTATTTCGAAAGTCTTCAACTTTTGAAATGCTATTTAACTGTTGAATGAAACCTAGAGCATGACTAAGAGTTGTACTTTGATATCGAAATTCTTAGAAAATTATCAACACTGCTAGTATAGAAATCAAACACTGTAGTAGATGGATTGTATCACTGCGTGGCATATTAAATAAAGAAAATTTCATATGAAGGCTGTATATAACTCAGAAGAATCACATGAATAAGAAGGATTTATTGAACATTTGTCAGTAATTTGGCTTTTGTCATCATCATAGTCCAGGGTACAGTTCGAAGATGAGCTATGAAGATGTATGTAGCTATCTCTACTATTGTTAACGATAAGTAGACAAACACTAGTTGCACTGAAAGTTTCTTATGCCTTGTTTACATGTTGATCAACAATAAAAGTGTACATTTACAGTTAAAACATAAACTTATAATAAATCAAAATCTCAATGATTTCAACAAACGATGAAAACATAAGTTAGGCTTTAAGCGAATGGTTTTAGAAAGTATCAAGCAAATAACCAGAATATGATTGGTATGGAGTCAAAAAATAATCAGATTGTGTGCAGATATATGATTCAGTGCAATCTGTGTTTAACCTAAAGCCATGAAACGGAATTTATCAGGCTGTTAAGATAGTAATTAACATGAAAAAGTATGTATCACTTCGTGTGAGAAAATTATGCAAAAAGTATCAGAAGTTTTTAGTGATAATAAAAATTAACCTTTTGTTTGAAGACAAAGTTGAATTTTTAAGGTAAATTGCTATAGATAATCACCTTCCAATTATTTTTGTTTTAACATCCAATCTCAACTGGTTTTCATCTGAATTACTAAACTCTACAAATCATCATTTGCAGCGTTTACAGGTGTACTTGTGCGTACTTCTAATCATGGTTATAACAAAATTAAAAGAATGTTTTCTATAAATAATATGGTGTTAAATGTTCCAATATTACCAACCTTCTTATTTAAGTTTTCTTCTGCTTAAATCTCATCATTCCTTCTTACTAATTTTGTGTTCGGTATTGGCGGTAATGAAAAGTTAAAAAGCTACTGAAAACGTTTCAAATCATGTCTGTATTTAATGAACTAAAGAACTTGTTTAAATACGTTAGGGTTTTTTGATAGTCAAGAAACTGATTATGAAATACACGAACCACTATGATTATTAGATATTGATAACGGTGTGGTATTAATGAATGAAAATGAAGAAAATAAGCTGGCTGTACTCGAAGAAAACTTTTGCTTTGTGTTTAGGAGTGAGTCTTCAAACAATGAATGGTTTTCATCACTACTGATGGATGATATTGAAAGGTTTAGGGGATTAGAGATTGTATTCCACTCAGTGAGATTAGTAGTTTGTTCATCATCATCATGATTACAAAGCTTCGCATTTTGTAAGAATTTATTTTTCATTGTAGTGTATGAAAATGGGGCATCTCTTTGTTCGTTTTCTGAGGTAGTCTTACCGTTCACCATATTCAATGAACTCCTATTAAACTCTGAGTGATTTAGCGTACTCTCTTGTTGGATTTCACTGCATTTGGATTGGTTCCGATTGGTGAAATGGGATGAACTGTCCCTTTCTGATGATTTTCTTAACGAGCGTGGTAATATAGGATTGCTATGAATATCTCCAGTAGAAAATGTTGTAGTGGTTGGTTGCGTTGCTGGTGTTGATAATGTTTTCATTCTTTTACGTATCCCACTCGAAAATTCTTTATTGTTTGCAGGTTTTGGCTGAAATTCATTAGTTATTTCGTTGACTGGACAGTGATTTTCACTTCCATATCGTGTCGCACAATACAACTGTGTAACTCGTAAAAGTGTTTCTCGCAGATAAGGATCTTTCCCTAGAAATGTGAGAAAATGTGAACGTTGTAGAAAAAAATCATTCAGAAAAGATGAAATAAGACTGTATAATACCAGAGGGTCAAAATAGGCTTAAACAAGCTCATACCGACAATATATCACCTAGATACTGAACTAAGGATACACTTTTCGTCTGTTATATAACTTTTTATTTGTAGTTATCCTAACTCAGTGCATATCATTTTGAAAAATACAAATTACTGAGTTAGGAAGAGTACGACTGTTGCTTCACACATTACTTATTAGCGAGGCATTTTACATTACAGCTGTCTTCATTTGGATAGATTAGCTGCTTTTTGTAGGCAGGTTGATTTGAAAATGAAGCTGTTACTATTATTATTACTACTGGCATCGATGCATCATCTGTACTTTTGGCTATCTCTTAAGCCCAATTAGAAGGCAACATTTGAACGTATTAGTCAAAACAGACAACACAGATGAATCTGTTAAAACAACAATGAAAGAATAACAGACTTTAAACTGCAAATGCAAATTTTTAAAAAAGGCAACAAACGGACAGTATTATGATTATGAATAACAGAAACAAACAGCAGCCTGTTAACTGTTCAGTTTACGAAAATAGCAGAAAGAACATAAATTTCTGGTTTGACTTTGGTAAGGATACTGCTACTATACAGATATTTATAAAAACTAAATACTCCATGTTCAACAAATTGTAACTTCTTTAACAATGAGGTTTCTATGATTCCTAAAAAGTAAAATGTCTGAAAGTTTCCTTCCCTTTGTGTAACTTTTTAGTTCGATATATCTAGTCTCTTGTAGTTGATGTTTAAGAGTGGTATCTTATATCCCAGATATTAGAATGTTTACCCGGATTTTATTAGTAGCTTTGGGGAAGCAGATATTTAGGAGTCATTTTAAGGAAGTTTAGTATAGTGTGGGATCTAACCTAAGATTGGGTCAAAAGGCTTATTAGTAACACTTAAGGACTGTTGCACGTCGTCAATAGGTGATTGGTGTATTTCAAATCCCAGTGAGACTAAAAAATCACAACCACTGATTTCTGGTGTAGATATTCAACTAAATAGTACATTCTTCTACTGGTTGAATAAACCACCATTGCTAAACACCATCTGTTAATCCAGCACAAACCGGTTGCTTCATATTGACTACTTATGCCGTTATGTTGAATATCATTCAGATGCAGTCATCATTTTGTTTGAAAATATTATTTTGAGGGTGAATTAGTTAAATCATTAAATACTGAGAATTCCATACGGTATCAAAAATATTGTCTGGAATAAGGCTATTATTATTTTAAAATGTATGGATTTAGGTTTTCAAAGCGAAAACAGTTTAGTTGCTTCTTGAAATGACTTCTAGATCTTGGGAAAAATTTGAGTCAATTTAAGTCAACTTATCCATTTTATTACTTTAACTGCCTCAGGATTTGGAAACAATTAGTTGCAATTCTTTTGAAGTTATTTTACCCCCATAAGTAAATGTTCGTCAAAAATATCGCCTAGTTGGGGACAGTTGTTCAGTCATATTCTGGAATGTATCAGTAGTAACCACTTGAAAGAGATTTCGAGATGTCAGAAAGAAAAATGTTAAAATTTAAGTGAATAAATAAGACTTCAGTAGTTGGCAGTCTAATTCTTACCAAGTTTATAATATTATAGAAAAAAACAGAAGACGATTGCTGCAAAGAAAAATCCTTCTTTTAGATGGAATCACTGTCTTAGGTGTATATTAGTGAATGTGTATTTTATAGGATAGAACATTCTAGAGTAATTTCCGGTCAAAGATCAATATAAATTACATGACAAAGAAAGTTACCTAATGTTACCCAAGACGTTTAAAATAGGGAAACAAACAAAATAATCATAAGATAAAAATAGTTACATCATAGTAAAGTTATCAAGAATGATCGGTATTCTATGATGGCCATGGCAAAGAAAGTGGTTGTATATACTTCTTTTGAAGGTATAATGATGGTTTGAACTTTTGAATCCCTATTGCTTCAGCTGTGTCAAGATGTTTTCACCTCACTCCTTTTGAGTGACTCGGTTGCATTTCGCACACAATTTCGTAGGACTCATCGAAATGAGTCGAATTTCTTCAGCTTACTAAGTGTTTTGTTACAGAGCAGAAGTTGCATTTATGCTTTCTCCTTATCAGTCAAGTAGGGTAGTGTTCGGAAGTGCGTTTCATATGCTGAGGTAAACTACGGCCAATGTACTCGGCTCCGCTGGAGAAAGTAAAGTGTTATGCTAACACTGATGTGACCCAATGCTCTAGGTTATCGTTTGCATACTGACGAACGAGTTTTTGACAGGAGAATGGGATTTCAAGACTGGTAGTAAAGGATGTTCTGTTTGTGGATATTGATTGCCTCTTTCTAAGTATATCGGCTGCATTATCTCCCTTGAATATAAGGTCCAACAGTAAAAACGTTTTCAGAGCAGTATGCATGTGTTCCATGATATTTTTATGCCTTAGATTCTGATTTATCACTTCCAGTGGGTATCCATTTTTCTTCATGATTTCTCGCAAGTTTTCCATTTCATCTTCGATTGAATCCTCTATACATATTCTCTTTATTCTTGGGAAGAGTGAACTGATACGATTCACCTTTCTGCTTACGGAGACACAGCTTTGAAAATAATAGACTACCCTTTCCAGGTGGACTTTCTGCAAATACGACTTAACTTTTGTGTAAATTAGTAGCTTTTTATATTAGTCCATTACTCCAAGAGATTATGAGCTTTTCTAAGCATTACAGATGGGTGTTCTTTATTTTGGTTTGTGAAAGGTGATTAGAACCATTTTTCACGTTTATGTACAGAATATTTCTTCTCATCTAAATTCGGTTATGGCTAAGGAAGGTGAGTTACTAAAGGATTTAAAGCTAGGTTACTAATGTTGTCAAGTATCTCCTAGTTTTCATTTTCCACTCACCTTTGACTTTTGATCATGACTACGTTCAAAAACTGTTCTAAATGAAATGAAATTTAGCGATCTCAGTAATTGGAAGGGACTTAGTGCTAATCATTCCACAGCTACCAGCTTGATAAAAGTACCGACTAGCTACCACTTTTAGCAAAGAATATCATTAAGATCTGCATTATCCAACTTACATCCAGGAAACTATATGTACTAGAAATGTACACCATTGAAGAATTAATTTGGTAGAACCGTTCGTTCTCAACGGCAAATAGAGTGTTAATTAACAGTACATAATAAGGTGTCTGTCATGAAGTTTCTTAACTCTAGGTTATTAAGAAAGATATCTACGAAGTAATGATGAATGTTAAGATCTTATAACAGTTCTTTTCAAATTTCTGCTTCGACAGCAAGACACAGATACTTCGAAAATGTGTATCTAAACGGCTATATTTATGCGTAAACCCAATACATATTGTGGCGATAATTTGATCACATGCAGACCGAATCTCAACGTCAGTAAATGTAGAAAAATAATTACAGATTAGTTGTGACATTAAGTAGAGAAGGTAGAAGCAAACTCTGGAAACCCGCGTATTCAATTTTTAACCTGGTTTAGAGCACATAGATTTCAGCCCTGTAGTTAACTTAACAAAGCGGAAGTGAAAAGTAAATTTTCTAGATATATGTCTCTTATCTATCATAGAAAGGATATTCAGACTATCACCTGGTTAGTATGCATAGGAACTCCGTCATAATCACTCCTCAATGTGATCTTGTTTGTTGTTATTTAATATAAATATGATAGATTTTTATGTACTTTACTCGTGAATGTTTGAGAATTTACGTTCGTGAAAATTTATTTATCAGACATCTGGTCAAAGGTTTTCTTATTTTCTTAATTATACAAACTGACTAGCAGATGTCGCCTCACACTTAGGAAATAAAAGCAGAAGAACAACTAATAAGTTGACATTTTTATGTCTTCCTTTGATGATGATTGAAATAATTTCTGAATAATTAAACATTATACCTTGATTTAGTTCTCCAATGTCTTTCAAAATAACTCCTTTTGTTTCTTTTTGAAAGACTAAGCGTTAACATTAAAATAGTACGAGGATGCATTTGATCGACTTCATGATAGTAATCAATCACTTTCCCCCTAGATCATGTGAATTATGTATCACTTAGAACATAGTTTATGTCCACCTGGCATCATTACCTTTCGACGAATCATTTTTTAAACACTGGCCAGATCTTGCGATAAATATAATTAACGAAGCACATTTATTGTAATTATGACTTTTGTGTATTTCAATTTCTTTTGTCTGAGTTTTTGTCTGGATAAAGTAATTAATACTACTCAGTATTCTGTTATTTATTGCTGCTTCTGGTTTCCCGTCGATGATTGATGATTGTACTGGATTGAATTAATTTTTAAAAGATTACCTCCATACTACCTCAAGTTTCGTTTCGATGCTATTTTTGTTTGGTGATGCCCAGCAGTTGAGTCCACAACGTGCGCTTATTTATACCTGGGACTCTTCAGCTGGATGTATTCGCATCCCAGTAACTGGTAATGTTGTTACCAAAATTCAAACCCAGCATCTATCGCTTCCAACGCCAGAGTGTTATCCACTGAGTACTCTAGGGAATTTTATTTAATGAGCGATTCAAGTAAGTATTTACTGTAAAGAACATGAACATTTAACCAGATACAACAACTGTAGACTAGCAAACACATATCTTTTCTGATAACATTGCTTCCAGAATAATGACCGCACCACAAAGCAGCTTCAGTTTTCCATATTACTGTTACTGAGGTGAAGATATGAAAGTTAAGTTTCATTCTGCAACAAAATGAAAATGTTTAGTTTCTGATCGTAGTCTTATAGGGCTTTATGCATCAGTTATCAAGATTAAACTTACAGTTCAGTATTTTTATGGTAGCATAAAAATGGAACTGTAACCCATACATCATAGTACACGCAGACACGCCTATCATCTTGGCCTTAGATTTGCACATACAGGGAAACCTGACAGTGGTCCTTCTACATGTTCGTTTGGAACGAAG